TATCTATATCATTCAATTTTTTTCAAGAATATCGAATAGAAATCATGCTTAACTTTTAATTGGACGTTGGCGGTTTTAAAAATTAACCGGATTCGGAATCGGAACCGCAGCACCGGTTCGAATTCCGGTTAGTGAAATTGAGAAAAACGGTTCTACGTTCGGTTCCGGATACGTTTAGTGGAATCGTTAATCTTTCGATATTATCTCGATTGATTCATATATTTATTGTTTTATTCAAAAGCAATTTTTTCAAAAATATTACAAAGACAAAGAAAATGAGAAAATCTATGTAATATGACACGTTCAAATGTATCTACTAATGATATAAATAAGTGCTAAAACAAATATGTTTCATCATTTTCTTTATCATTATCACGAAAGAAACTTAAATCTTCTTCAGCTACTTTAAAATTGAGAGTGTGGGTGTAGATTATGCCAAAAGCAAGACACCCACACCCTCAAGATGGTGAAGGGTCAGCTATGTATAACAAAAGAGAAAAAATAAATGAACTAAAGAGATGTGAAAGAAAAATGTGGGATAATCTATTAAATCGATGAGTCACTTTCTCCAAAGATCATCTGACGATAATAATCTATACATGACCCCAATTATCATCAAATAATTTTTGCGGTTCCATCGGTTCCGATTCTATTATTTTTCAATTCATCATTCCGGCTCCGCTTTTTTTAGAATCGCCGATCTATACTTTTAATATATTATATTAGGATATTCAAAAAAATAATTTACAAGTAATATATATTAACGAAGTAAATATGTCCACCTTAAATAATAGTTTTCTTAGATTAACAAGGAAAAATAGTATATATTTAATAATTGTCTACTGCCTTATCATCAGAATTTTCGAATAATCTACTAATAAATGTACCAAGTGGATCAGGTAATGGTTGAATAGATTCGAAAAAGAAAGCATTAATTTGTGCACCTAATATAAGTATAATAGCGAAGTAGAAGAGAAATAATATTAAAATAACAGCAAAACCAATTTGACCTGTATAACTAGTCATGTATGTTCGAATATAAAGTGGAAAAAATATCATAAATAATTGTAAAGCACCAGAAGCTATAATTGCTCCACACCACGTTTGTTTGAATGTCATTTTTTTATTTGGTATTAAATAATAAATTATTTCAAATAGAAGAAATGTTAAAGATAAACTTGTTAAAATTCCAAGAATATATGTACCAAAACGACCACCAGCATTTGGAATAAAATCAAGGAGTATTGATGGAGTTGATGAAGCAATTATCATTAATGGAATAAGTATAAGAAAAAGTAAAAGCATTTTTAAAGCTAAAAAATATTTTTTTATAAATTTACGTTCTTCAATACGATAAATAATTGTTAATGATCGATCAATAGCAACAAATAATCTTAAACAACCAATAATAGCAAATAATATACCAAATGTTAAAATAATTCCAGCATCATGATATAAATTTTTAAATGCTATATTTATTATTTCACGTAAACTATCATTTGCTTTTGGTGGAAATGTATTTATAATTGAATTTTTTATTCGATTTTGTAAATTTATATTATTATTAAGAATAAGACCAAGTATACCAAAAAAAATTATTGCCATAGGTAAAAGTGCAATTAATAAATTAAATGCTAACATACTTGATAGAACAAGTGACCAATCATTTTTAAATTTTTTTAAAAATTTACGATATGGTTTTGTTTCAATTTTCATATTTTGAAATAAATCTCTATTAGTAGTTGTAGACTCCATTTGTTGTTTTACTCTTACGAACAAATCTTTTCTTTATTAGAGTGAATTATTTCGTATGTTCATCTTTTGTCGATGTACAATACTTTTCTTTTTTCTTTCTCTTTCGTTTTGTGAACGAAAATAAATCAATAGATATCTTATAGTATCTAGTTATTCGTTTTTATTGATTATGAAATGAATAGAATAGATATTGAAAGAAATTTTCTTGGATTATTTTAGTGAATAATGATTCTTTTATGAAATATGGAATGACTGAGTTTTTATTTTGAAGTATGTTTTCAAGCAGTAATATCAATATAAGATTCAATATCGATTACGTGTGCATGTTTATATATCAATAAAAATAAGAATGTTGTCATTGAGTTAATCCATCAAACATTCAAAAGGATTAAAAACAGTACATTGTATGTTATAGTAAATGTCATGTCACGTTAGTAATACATAAAATCACAATTATTCTTTCAAACCATTTGAGTATTGCCAATGAAATTCCCAAGAAAATAGTTCAAAAACAATTATTATAAGTCAGAACGATATAAATATTTAATATACTCTCATGAAATAAAAGAAAAACAATAGGCCGTAATACAATTAATAAATTTCAAAATATTAATTTTCACAAAAACAGACAATCAATATTTGTACATGATAATTAGTACATTAGTTGCGTGACGAAAAATATTTATATATAAGAAATTACGAAAACATTCTAAACAGCTGTAAGTCTGGTAATCTAATTAGGTACTTCAGAAGAAGTACATGAATACAAATGTATAACATATATAATTGTTTTTTCTTCTTCTTCTGTTGACATTAACATAGAAGACAAAAGGTCAACAATTTCCAAAATATTAGATATAAGAAAAACAATTAATTTATTTACTACCACTATCTTATGACATTTATAATATAGAGTTAATAACAATTTTATATAGATTCTTGTTTTCTTCTTCTTCTTCTGCTTTCGTTTAAATTATAAATTCTAATCCTTTTAAAATAGAGCATATATTTTTAGAAAAAGCAAAGAAAAAATATAATAAAATTATTAGACGCATACTGTATAGTGTTTTGGAGAATTCTAAGATCTTCAACAGCATAAAACTAAAAAAGAGAAAAAAAAATGACGACAAAAACAAAACTGATTTCTTCATAGATCAGATCCAACAACCAAGAGAAGCAAACAAGATAAACTAAAAAAAGAAAAAAACGACGCAACTAATAAGATAGATCTATTTCTATAAGAAAAAGAAAAGAAAAACAACTTAGAATTACATTCCAGACACTATTTTCTATATACATACACGCACAGTTTTCTAGTACTAAGTCAATGAACGATTTTTCGTTGAACTTCCTGTTAATGATGGTGGCGGTGTTGCTGGAGCATCCGAACGAAATACTGTTTTTTTTTGTTTGTCTATAAATGTCGGTGTATTACGACCTGAAGTACTTGGACTATCAATTGATGTTTTAGTTGAATTATTCAAAGTAACCATAGCTTGATGTTGAGTTAATAATCGTTCATGTTCAGGTCCAATAAGTCCACCATCTGATCCTATTGTTGGTGCTAATGATGATGTTCTTTCACGTGGTATACTACCTCCACTAAAACTAACGTCTTGTCCACCACCACCACCACCCATACTTCCTGTAGCCATAACTGGATCAATATGATCAGCTTTTTCTAATTCTTGTGTTAATAAATCAATTTCATCACCATCTGAATTAAGCATAGGTGTGCCACCATTTGCTGTTTGTTTAGTTTCGAAAAATGTTGCACGTACAGCAGCTAACCAATGCACACGACGTATACGTAAGATTTGCACATCTTCACTAATACGTAAACTAAAATCCGGTACATATGGACGAAATTTATTTGATTTTAATCGAACAAGTTCTTCGACTTTTTCTTCAGATGACTAAAAATACAAAACACAAATTATTATTTTATCTCAGCAAATTAATATTCCTTACATAAAGTGCACTAACACCAAAATAAGAAAATGATCCAACTTCACTAACAATTTTTTCTTTGCCAGTTTCTAATTCAGCTTTACCATTAACAATAAGAACAAAATAATCCACGGGTTTACCATATTCATATATATATGTAGTTTTACCAGCTTTAACATCATCTTCGTCAAATTCAAATTCTTTATATAAATCAACATTTAATAATCGACTTAAAATATGGGCTGATATAAATTTATTATTAAAAGGTTCGACACCTTAAAATAAAAATAGAGAAATATTTTTTGTTATTAATTTTTTTTTGTTTTCCGTACTTGTGGAGAGAAATTGAAAAACAGCGACTTTCATTTGTGCTGAGATTTTACTTGCAACTGCATTCGTTGTTGTACGAATAAATGCTGAAAAATCGGGTGCTTGAGAAAGCATATTTCGTACTTTACGACGATTATCAGCTGAAAATAAAATAAATTGATTATATTTTAATTCGATTTAGTTTAGTTTTCTCTACTTACTAAATACATCAGTTTCATCGATAATTTCTTCTTGTATCATTTCTTCAATGATATCTTCTAATGTAATAATACCAACTGCTTTTGCTTTTGGATCTTTTTCACTTGTATTATCATATTCAACAACAACACCCAAATGATATTGTTCTAAAAAAAGAAAAGTAATATACTATTCATAATATTTTCTTTTTCGTTTACCTTTTTTAAATAAATTAAATACATCATAACTTGAATCATCAGTTGTTATAGCTGTACCATAACGATGTTTATAAAAATTCATTATATTTCGAACAGTAAATTTTCCTGATTCAGTATCAAGTAATGCAAAATCTCGTATATTAACAAGACCAATTATATTATCTCTAAAAGAAGAAAAGAATTGATTGTTAAGTTTAAACTAAAAAAAAGAATAAACGAACCGTCGTCCTTCATAAACAGGTATTCTTGAATATCCATAGCCATGAACATTTAAAACAAGTTCATCATCAACAATACGATTTGCTTCAAGCATAAAAACATCAATTAAATTTGTCATAACATCACGAATTTTTTTCGCTTTCAAACTAAGTACACCAGTCATTATAATTTTTTCACGATCTTCAATATCAGTTGTTTGCGTATGTTTTAATAGTGCACTCATTTGATCACGTGTATAACGTGCACCAACTTCTTCACCTTAAAATTCATAAAATCAATTTTTTTGTTAATTACACAATATTTCAAGAATATATTGAGACTATGGCGAAGTTTTTTTTTTTTGTTGAAAATGTTCTCAACTCGGTATTATAAGATTTCATGAAGATAATCATTAAATAAATTCTAAAAATAGTTGATTTCGTGACACTCAAGCCTCGTTAAGAATTCATGCACTTTATTTAGTTGTTATTATTTTGTTTCAAGCGTACATGTTATATTGACAGAATTCTTTTCTTTTTTTGTGTGCAAAAATAGTATCTCAAATGTACTTGCTGAAAAATGATTTTTATAACATTTTTTGAATTTTAACAGTGCTTATATCTGTAAGGAAATATGAATGTAAAAAATAAAATCTAGGAGAAAATTTCTCATTGGAAAATTAGTCTTTCTCTAGGTCTATAATTATTGAGAATTTCCTACAAAACATCATAGTATAAACTGATAATTTTCTAAATATAGACTCTCTATAATGTCAATGTATTCTTATAAATTCATACAAATTAGATGTTCCGGCCTTAATAAGTGTAAAATCCCTAATGCAATGAATCTCTTGGTGCATACATTAATTCATAATTCAATAGTCATTATTGTTCAAGATGATAAAACACTTCGAACTATTGTTAGAAGTGTAATTTTTATTATGACAGTTAAAAGTCTTTTAATAACATTTCCTTTAACCCTCGGGAGACGAGATTACTTTAAAACAACATAAAATTTTTCTAAAGTTGAAAATTACAGTGTCATTACAACGGAGCTGAATGTAATATCGCTATATTGATAGTGATATATTCATCTTTCGTCATATTCATTCAAAGTCAAGCGTAAATATAACTCTCCCATTAGAAGGGACAAATGAAACATCTTTTTTTTTCATGCAAAAAGCACATAAAATATCGATTATAGCAATAATATTCTTGTAATCTATACTTTCTCGACATTATTAACATGTATAGAATAGCAGTCGTTTTATACTAGATAAATACATAAATTTGAAAATAGCATTTCAATATTATTTGTATTACATATAGTCTGATGATAAGAAAATCTTCATAGTATTATATATATATATATATTTCAAATATGAAAAGTTCTTACCTAGAATTATATCGAGTAATTTACTCAATGGAAATGCTATTGGTAAAGTCATTAACATGAAAAATTTTGTTAAAAGAATTGTTTTTGCACCAACTCTAAGACCATGTCGAGAACATATAGCTTGAGGAATGATTTCACCAAAAATAACAATTGCTAATGTTGCACCAGCTACAGCAATTACACCACTAATTAATGAATCAAGTAAAATAGTTGCTGTTGAATTTACCAAAACATTTCCCAATAAAATAGTACATAATAGAAAATTACCATGTTTCCGCACAGGATGGATTTTACTTGCATATTTTTTATCATTTGGTGTACCAGCTTCTTGTATAACCACTAAATCATGTGGTGTTAATGACATTAAACCAAGATTTAATCCAGAGAAAAGACCAGATAATATTAAAAGACATACTAGGCAAACTATTGTAACCCAAACAGGTAATGCTCGGCGCGCAACTCGAATTTTTAATGCAGGTCTTTGAAAGAGAACAAAAAAATCGAAAAATAAAAATAATATGAAAAAATTATTCTAATAGTACCGATCTCCTTGATGAAATACTTCATTAGAATTTGTTGGTGTTAAACACATATATAAAGTTGAATTATAATATGGTAAATTAAGAGTTATAAAAGCACGGTCACTCATACGTTCATGTGGATCATGTGCATCAACTTTTAATTTATATACTGTATCTTTACGTTCCCATTGACATGATTTAGGATGAGTTGTAAATGATAATTGTGCACCATCAAGATTTTCACCTAAAGAAAAACAATGTATTCTAAAAGTTGGTTTCATTTTATGATATAATTATAATTTGATTTGTATTTTACAAGTAAATCATTAAACTCTATTAAATAGTTATTAACGAAAATAATTTATCCATTGAAATAGATTTTTTTTAGATCGAAATTTAATCACTTGAAAGAAAGTGATATATTTAACCGTTTGAGGCCCACGATTTAATCTATGGACGAAACCTCTTAAAAACTTGATATTTTGTATGAGTATTGAGTATTATCGACACTTCCATTAATACTTTAAAAAAATATTTTAAGTCATTTTTAACTTTTAGCCGTGTCCCCCTATAGGAATGGTGAGAAATATTTTAGCCACTTCCTTGGAGGTGTACGAACGGGAGCCTAAAACTGACGCAGTAAGGTTTTTAATCTCGCACAAATATGTCTTAACTACGAATATTTGTTAAATATATTCGAAATTTTTTGAAAACTAGATTTTTTCGCTAGATGGGCCATATATGTCCCACCGGAACTCAAAGGGTTAAGTCTTTCCAATAAGTATTATTTTACATACCATAGATTGCAAATTCAGTATCGGTGGTTTTTTGTACCTCCCATTCTTGTTCACCTACACTGTTGAATACATGATCACCTTTGGCTACTGGAACCATTGTTAATATATATGTTTTTGAAGATAATGGTAATTGATGTTGATCAGCTGCATGATATTGTTCTTTACGTTGTTGATTTTTCCTTTTTGTTGATTTCGTTACGACTTCTCGTCGAGATACCTTAGATGGAAAGAAGTTATGTTTTTCTCAAAGGAACTATAAAAAAAAAATTTTTTTCTACCTGATTATCATCATTATGAGTATTTTGAATTGAAAATGTTTCAATTATTGATATGATTGAACTGAGAAGAATTATGTGGAAACAATAACGGTAAAAATACATAATGAATTAAAATTGTTTTGTGAAGAAAAACAAAAAAAAATGGTAATAGAACTAACTAAAAACTGTTCACGTTTTATACGACTAAAAGTGGTAAAAGAAAGGAAATAAAATATTGTTATCACACAAGCGCAAAAAAGACAGAAAAAGCAAGAAATCGATCAAATCACTGTAAATGAAAAAAAAATTGGCCTAGCTTAGAAAATAAAAGAAAAAGAATCAGAGAAGAATGATTACGCAGAAGAGAAATTGACACAAAACAAATGGGATGTTAAATAATATTCGTTATTGAAGTAAACATTGAAAATTTCTTTGAATTTTTTATAGATAAACAATTACTAATATTAAAATTCCAATAATTCCAATCGCACTTTATTGCGATACAGAACATAATGAAATAAAATAAGATGATTAAGTGTTGTTTTGTACTCGGGTATAGTACAAAATTTCAGGTGTCGTTGACAATAGAATAAAAGAATCTAGAAAAGAACTTTTTTTTATAATAAATTGAATAAAAAGCACTGATTATAAGTTTTCAGTTGTTTATCTCGTTTCTTATATTTTTTTT